TGAACTTCAGGTATTTGCTTCTCACCTAGTGTTAGCGTCTCGTTTTTTGAAACTTACGTTTCCTATACAGATTCTTGGTTTGGATTTGAAATGACTCTTCTTTGTTTGTTTGTTTTTTTTTTGTTTATTTATTAATGTAATTGATCTTTGCTATGAGTTTATCGTAAACTAGCATGGCACATAGACTCTTTTAATCATCATCTTATATATGAGAAGACGCTATATCTATACTATTTTGATGCTTACTCTTCCTCTTTTTTTTTTTTTTTGTTAAAAGTTGTGAGAATAATATATTATAACTTATTACATAGTCTTGATGATAAAATATTCTTCTAATCTTCTTATATTTTTTAAAAAGGGTAACCATGAGTGATACTAAATCACCGTGGGTATTTGATACATTAATAAAGTGAGTGATATTAAATCACCGCATATATTAAGTGTCAAAAATTTTAAAAAATATTAAAATTTAAGGGTATGTTTTTAGGATCCACGAGTAATACTAAATCATCGTGTATCAATAGAAATATCAAATAAGATATCATGAGTGACACTAAGTTACCACAAATATCATAATTAAATTACTTTATAGAAAATTTATTTTAAAAATTTCTTTAGAGTTTGCCATGAGTGATGTTAAATCACCATGTGCATTTAGAGTATCAACAGGTGGATTGTAAGTGATACTAAATTATTGTGTGCACTTAAAATGTCAATTAGTGAACTATGAGTGATATTAAATTATCACAGGTTGTAGTACATGTTATTTTCCTCTTACCTAAAGGTATTTCCAAGGAAAAAATTTTCATTTTAAAAAAATAATACAACCTAAAATAATATTCTCTTCATAAAATAAATTAATAAAAAAATTAAAAGAAAACCTAAATAATAATATTTCAAAATATGTGGACTTTGATCCTCATTACAGGGTACATAAGCCTTAGACTTTGATCCTAGGTCAAGTCTTCCTTTATAAATAAATAATTTATTTTAAATTGTTATTTTGTTTCTTTTTTTTTTATGTGAATATAAAGGGTAATTAAGATATTATTGAAAGGTCAATTAATTTATGCCATTAACTTAGGATAATCATTCTTATGAATAGGTGTCGTAGGGTATCTAACACCTTCCGTACACACAATTGACTCCCGAACCTTTTTCGCATATCATCTTTTTTATTATATAATTTTTCAAGGTTTTTTTAAAAATTTTGGTGACAACTCCGATTGTCTTATATTTATTGACCTTCCTTCTTTGAGAAGGCACGATTTGGGTGCAACAATGGATGTGGGACTTTCTTTAACTTCTCTATCTCTAATACAAGGGTAGATGATCATAGTGAGCTATATCAAGAGAGATGTTCAATAAAATTCATAGAGTTGATTGTTGAACCAAATTATCTAGTGCTCATTGTTACAATGAGAAACGAAGTATCCAAACCTAATTCGAATGGTTCATATTTTAAGTTTTAAATTTTTAATAATTAATAACAAATCCATTTTTCTAACAAGTGACAATTGGAAGCATAAATCCATGGTGTCACTGGTGCGTGCGCATCTTTCGCACATTAATCGTAAACTAATACGCGCACAAAATGAGTTCGTCAATCGTCACAGAGTCAAGAGATCACTCCGCTTTTTTAATGTTCTTTCATAGTTACAAGTCTTTTATAGATGTTACCCAAAAGTTGTTGGATACGTCCCATTTCGCAATATCGAATCGGCACATATAGTATTTTAACTTCAACCTAAGCATTATATTTCATCCTCGGAAATCCTTGAAGTAGTGATCCTCTAACACATCAGCAATTCCAAAAGCTTCTGGACCAATCACAGTAATTGAAGTTCATAAAGTTCGTTCTCTGTAATACATTAATCGAGTACATGCACTTCCAAATTATAAGTGCGATACAGGCACCAAAGCACCAAGAAGATGCCAAGACAAAATGAAAGCGCTTTGGGTGCGGTAACATTTTCTCTAGTTTGTCTAAAAAGTTAAACCAAACTTTCAAACAAGCCGTCAATAAAGTTAAAAGCCACCATCATATTTGGAACTCTCAGCTTCTGTAGAAATATCCGGAACGAACGGTTTTATCTGGCAGATGTCGAAAACCCAGCTAGCTATGCAAGCTTGATGTTTATCACCTTGAACGCACTCGATCTCAATTTGAAAGAAGTAATCATTCATCAATTAACTAATTGATGAAAAATAAAGGCTTGATTTCACTTTCAGGGTGAGGTCTTCGTCAGACATGTATGCATGCTGAACTGGAAAACAACTATGAGCTATCTTCATAGATGTTAAGTGACTAACATCAACATTATTTACAGAGGAAGAAAAGGAAATCCAACTTTATGACTACTTGTGTTGGAAGAAGTTCTTATTTTGACAAATACGAATCTGACCCATATGTGCAGGTATCACGTTATCTTTAATTTATATGCTTATCCACAAGCTTAATTTGTCAATGAATTCTGATGCAATATATCAATGACTTTGAATCCATATCTGCAGGCTCCCTCTCGCCTTTAAGTTTAGTGGTAATTAATTAACAAGAAAAAAGAAAGGCGCAAAATATCTAGCTTCCACTCTCTCCAATCTTTCATCGTCCAATCTATATATATATATATATATATATATATATTATTATGGAGGCTTTTGCAAATATAACTCATATTATAGAACTACACTAGATAGCCTAACATTTATTATATTTTGCATTATAATTAATTTATTTTATTTGTTAATCATATGTTATTGTATATCAATGATAAATTTCTTGAAAATAATGTAAACCAGCCACTCTCCAAAATTTTCAAAAATTTGATCTATATTTTTTAGGTATAAGAATTTTTTTGATCAATGGACCAATTTATCCATAATTATAAGATTCAATGAATAAAGTTTAGTTTCATGTGGGGTGAGATAAGAAATCTGGATGATCTGGAATTAAATTGGTACACAGATAAGGCATAGTCTGCAGCATTAACTACGACTCCACGTACATTAAAAACCGAAAAAAAAAGCAGAAGAGAGAATAACACTTGAATTATCCTTGTAATTAAGGAAATTGTTGATAATTCTGGCCTCTTAAACACTACGCTCTTGAAATCATAATTGCTATCTCCAGTCTTAGATACAAATGACATGTTTGGAAACCTGTTTTGAGGAAAGAACAAAAAAATCTGTTTGGTAATGTATTTTAAAAAACAAAAAAATAAAATATTATTCTGAAAAATAAAAAAATAAAAAAAATTTTAGATGTTTTGAAATTATTGTTTTGGAGAACTAGAGAGAATGAGAAAAAAAAAATTTTATTATTATTTTTTATTCTCATAACATATTTTACAAAACATCAATTCTCAAAATAATAAAATAAAAATAATTTCAAAGAGTCCTAAAGTATTTGTTGGAAGAAGAAGAAGAAGAAGATACATTTAGTATTCATTAAAAAAAAAACGAGAGTGGTACGTTTAGTATTCATAAAAATAAAGATAAACCATTAATTAAGGACATATCTGAAAAACTATTTTTCCTACAAATTCAAATAATTTAACTAACTTTAATCAATTTTGTTGCTTTGTGTAAGGACATTTGTTAGTGCCTTGTATCTGAGACCAAAGATAATATAATATACAGTATTATATTAACTACCTTTTTTTACCAAAGATAATATAATATACAGTATTATATTAACTACCTTTTTTTAATTAGGACCAAAGTTTTAAATAATATTTTCATAAAAAATTCAAACGTCATCTTCGAAAAAAAATAATAATAACAACATATTGGTCTCAAGTTTATGCACTCCTACTACGTACTACCTAACCTGTCACTTTTCTTCTTTTTAATTTTTTTTATTCCCATATTAAATTGCGTGAGTTCTTATATTATGTTAAACTAATTAACAACAATTCTTCTAATCAAATATCAATGGGAACTGTTGCCACAACTGCATTATAAACTGTTGAATTAATCGTGCAACACTTCAAGATTAATTCAAAATCTAGCTAGTTTTTTTTATTCAACCTAATTAACCACAATAACTCGCATTAATTTTTCTTTTCATAAATATCAGGACTTCAGGAGAAACTGAGCTTTTGATCTCTACTCATATCTTCATACCTTATCTTTATCCATTTGAAACTAGCTTAGAGTAACAATTTTAATTATTAAGTGTGTGTTTATTTATTTAACACAAAGAAGTGTGAGCAATTAGTGATGCCGGTGCACTCATTCAGCAATTGAAATTTACCTGTTCTGTGCAAAATTTTGGAATAAACTTATAAAATACATGAAGATCATTGGATCTGTGTGCTATTATTGCAAGGGATTCCTGCTCTTGTGACACAATACTAAATTCGCCGAAGCAAGATTCTAATACCATTTATTCGTGCAAGAAAAATCAACGAGCTATACTCAGCTAATAATTATTTCTTCGGGCGATAACATAATACGTTTTTGTCATTTTCATTTACAAATTTCCATAGACATGATGAAATTAAAGGTCTCCGTCTTGGGGAAAAAAATAATAAAAAGACTATGCTGCACCAAATTTAAAATTGATAGTCACTTTAAAGCTGTAGAGATAATAAATTACACAATCAATTAGAGAAGATTATATTCTTTAGATTTTGTCACTATTGCATTTCCTTTTTATTTTATATACATTATTATTGGAGAATTCATGCGTTATTATTAGATCAAGTTAAAGATAACTATATCCTAATGTAATTTGTTTGCTCCACTACTGACCTTATTTTGTACTTAACCCAATCACTATTTAAATTGTCATTGTCTATCGAACTAAGCATGGTTTAAAGCAACATAGAGAGGGTAAAGTTACATGTCCTCCAGTAGGACGTCTTCCCTTATAGATAACGTTGTGGACACAGCACAACACAAAGTTCTAATTTTTTTCCCCTTTCGGTAAGATATATACTAGAGCCTCAATTGCATACAATGCAAATTACATAGTTGTTTAATTTTGAAAAGGAGCACCTCCACATGTAAAGTGTAGTAATTGAATATTAAGGTTAAAGCATGCTGAGATATACATATGTACATGTATATGCTGTGAGGGCAGAGAGATGGGCGTTAATTAAGAGCATTGGGCATATTTTAATGGAAAAGTTGGTGTATATAAGGAAGGGCTGGGGTTACATGTGATGACAGGACAAGCAGAAGAATGGGCGAAATGGTTAGAGAGGAAGAGAGAATAGGGAAAATGAGGGGAGAGATCAGCAGCAGAGGAATGGGGTGGCTGAGCAGAGCAAAGCCGTATCTGCTCATGGTCGGCCTGCAGTTTGGGATGGCCGGCAACTACATCTTCGGCAAGGACGTTCTCAACCGCGGCATGAATCGTTTTGTCTTCATTGTCTACCGTAATTCCATGGCTTCCTTCTTCCTCGCTCCTTTCGCTCTCTTCCTCGAAAGGTCCTTCACTCTCTCTACTTCAATTGTTTTCCTTCATCAGAGATTGAGCTTAACAGATATTTGTTCTTTTTTTGATGCAGGAGACGTAGGCCCAGGATGACGGTCCCAGTTTTTCTGCAGATAATGGCACTGGGATTTCTTGAGTACGTAAACCCCAACACAGAGCACCATCATGTTGAGTGGAAACAAGTTTTAGTACTCATCATACAAATGAATATTGAAGAGTTCATCGCCTTTAAATTGTTTACATCTAATCTAGATGGTCCACATTTACAGCCTTTCACTTTTATTTTTTTTTTTTAAATAATTTTTTATTTTAAAACCACAAGTTGAAAAGCTATAAATTTGGATCATGAAAATTAGAGTTGAATGGTCCAAAACGATGAGCTCTTAGCATTCATCATGATGAGCACTGAAATTGATTCTATGAGGTGCATGTATATGATCAGATATATTTAAATGAATGTGTCATCAGGCCGGTTTTCAATCAAAGCTTCACTTACTTGGGGATGAAATACACGTCGGCGTCATTTGCTTCAGCTATTGTGAACGCCGTCCCGTCCTTCACGTTTCTGCTGGCGGTCATTTTCCGGTAATTATTGGCCAACGCATGCAGTTGTTAAGTAGTGATTAGTATTAAGTGATGATGTAGTGATAAGAAAATAATGGTGTGTGCATGGATGAGACAGGATAGAGAGGATAAAAGTGAAGGAGAAAAGGAGCGTAGCCAAAGTGATGGGGACGATGGTAACGTTTGGAGGGGCAGTAGTGATGGCTACCTATAAGGGCCCAGGATTCAGCATATTGCACTCAGCCGCCGCGTCGGAACATGAAGGAGGCGGCGGCGGCGGCGGCAGTAACCATGGGCAGACGAGCGGGGCCCTGTACATACTAATGGGATGCGGGGCTCTGTCGGGTTTCTACATATTGCAGTCGGTGATGGTGAAGAGATACCCGGCGGAGCTCTCACTGGCGACGCTGATATGCATGGCCGGTTCCTTGCAAGCGACTGCGGTGGCGCTGGTGGCGGAGCCTCACTCACGCTCCTGGGCCATCGGTTTGGACTACCGTCTCTATGCTCCCCTCTACACGGTTTCCCCGCCCCCACCTTTCTCTTTGCCCTACTAATTTATTTAACCAAAAAAAAAAAAAAACACGATACTCGTTCTTTTCAATTTATAAGTCACATTTAATTAATCTAAGGACGCTAAGCTAGTTAGTTAAGATCACTTTCTTCAGTATAATCCTATTTATATGACCTTACCTATTATTTTTTTAATATACAAGATATTTTATAAAATTTAATAAAACATTTAGGATATATTTTCACAAATACTCTTGTCTCTTTTACTTTTGATCTTTCCATCCTTCCCATCTCCCTCCCTCCCTCCAATTAACTATACTAATCAAATGATTGTTTTGGGAAGTTGTTAAAATTTCTTGCATTAAATTTTTAACTAATTTTCTTACTATCATGACTGTTGTTAATAGTCTTGGCCCAGAAAAAAAGAAAAGACAGTTGTTAATAGGGTCTTATTTTATAAAAAGGGGGGATTGGATCAGGGAGTAGTTCATATCTTTAAAATTACCCCATATTTAAAAAAAAATATCCTTAATTAAATACAATTAATTATAATCCCATCTTACATATGTCCCAGTCTTTCTTAGGTAACTTGTAATTGAATGCTTCATGATTTTTTTAAAAACTGACTTATAAATCAAAATATAAAAAAAAAAAACTTTTCACAGGTAACTTGTAAATGCGAACTGAGGGAGTGTCGTATGAGGGATGGCATCATCATTTTTTTTTAAATAGTTAATAGTTAGTAGTTAATGAGCTTTTTCGGGGCGCACATGCCCCTCCGGGCTCCGGCTCCATCTTTGAGACTTGGGTTTCGGAAGTTCAGCCTTACGTCGGCGTTTATATAAGAAGAATACCCAAATCTCAGTTAACAGTTGTTTGCTTGGCCATCTAGTTTGGGCTCCCGATGTGTTTTATCATGTTCAAATTTATTCACAAAAACTCCAACTCTTTCTTGACCAAAATAAATAACCTAATGTTTATTATAATTTACATTATAATTAATTTATTATATTTATCAATAATATATTATTATATATTAATGATAAATTTTTTATAAATTTTTAATAATAAATTCTTTATATATCAATATAAACCAACACGCTTTTAAATTTTTAAAAATTTAGTTCATATTTTTTGAATATAATTTTTTTTTCAATCAGTGGGTCAATTTATTCAAAAATAAAGTCTTCAATAACATATTACATTGTATACTTTTTATAAATTTTATCGAGAGCATATGAATCCTTTATGCTAAAAATATGCATGAATTTAAAAAAAATTATAATTTTTATTATGTTTTTTATTCAATAAAATAACATTCATTAGTAATCTAATCATTGATATCAATCTACATAGATATATAATATAAAAAATTAACAATTTGTCCTAATCCTAAATCATAAACAATGCAATTTATGTGGGCGTTCCACCCATGTAGGTTGGTAAAACATTTATGAGTAAAAAATAATCAAGATTAAACTGAAGTGCATGTTATAAAAGTAAAAATGAGAGACGAATTACTGCAATAGTTGGTGGAATAAAAGAAATAGTGAGAATGGGAGAATAAATGCAGGGGATAGTGAGTTCGGGAGTAGCATATTATGTGCAAGGGGTAGTGATGCAACTGAGAGGCCCAGTGTTCGCAACAGCCTTCAATCCGCTCTGCATGATCATCGTTGCTGCTCTGGGCTCCCTCCTCCTCCGCGAGCAAATCCATCTTGGCAGGTATATACACACTTTCATCAATCATCTTCATTCAATCCCTCTTCATTTTTTTAAAATTAATTAATTCCCATGTCTCTGCATTCTCCCATACAGTATTATAGGAGCCATCATCATCGCTCTGGGCCTTTACTCTGTCGTGTGGGGTAAAGCCAAGGACCTCTCCCAATCGCACCCTGATTCATCATCCCCCCAGAAACCACCAAATTCTGCTGCAACTCTCCAGGATCATGATGATCTCAGGCTAGACACTACTACTCACGACATGGCTCAAGTGCAGCTCGACCTGCAGTTATCCAAAATGGAAGCTCAACAACCAAACGCCAAGCTCTAGACCGTCTAATGCCCGCCTTCTTTTCCAATAGATGCACATACTGGTGTGTCTCTTCGCTTTGTGTCAAATATTTTGGCTTAGGTTGGTTCATCATGTACTCATTTCAGATCTGGAAGTGCAGCATTTTCACTTTTGTGAGATAGCAGGTTCTAGCCAGTGGAGGGGTTCGCCTTTCCCTAGGAGACTAGTTTTATCTATAGCTAGCTTGACGATGTCATCGATATCTATCAGTACCTGTTTATTATTCTTGTCCTTTAAATTACTGGTGAACCGTATCTTTATATTACTCGGCCCGTGCACCCTCATGCTTTTTACTTCTAGAAATGAAACAGGAACTTCCCGGTGAACAAGATGAATCACATTCATTTGTTCATGAGAGGCGGGAGATTAAGGTTGGTTTTATTAAGTGAAATATCAAAGAAATTAAGAGTCGAGATGCATCTCGTTTCACAATGTAAAATGAAGTCATGAAATAATCTGTTATGGTTATCTATAAAAATCACAGAACAGTGGTGCAGAAAATCTGAGAATGAGAGAAACAGATGAAGAAGTTGCAGCAGCCGCAGAGGGAAGAGGAAGAAACTTCAAAGGAAGGAGAAGAGAAGCCGAAGCATGTCAGAGGAGACAAGACAAAATTCTTCACAGTTCACTCCACTTGCTTCCACCATCTATTATACCCTAAAATCTCTTTCCATGTCAGCCCACGTCTCCAAAGCCCAATAATCACATCTTGCCACCCATTAGTCACTATCTCATGGTCCCAATTCTTGTTATCATGAAGTCCATCCATTACATAAACCTTCCGCGGATTTCCCTTTGCGGTGCAACTTCACATCAGTTTCAGTAAATGAATTTTTCACAATGACTGATTACCTCTTGAAACATTCTTGAATGAGGGGATATCCTGCACTATTATTCTGTAAAAAGAAAAAAGAAAATACAGATTATGCGATTAATCGGGTTAGGGCCGGGCCTCTAATGTGCCTATTATTCAGATTCATTCTTCATGTATAAATTAATGATATGAGCTTAGCGTCATTACAATTTCCATTAGAACGATAACAATGCTGTGTTCAGGTTGAACTACAGTAAATGGCGACGTACGATTCCGTAGTTAGAATGGCAGCCAAATCTGGTAGCAAAAGTGAACAAAATTTAGTCAGCATGACAATGTGTCATAGTGCAGAATATTCTTGCTTAGAACAGACCATCCTACGTGCTACTGTTTTACATTAGCTTTATATTTGGATGCTAGTTATTATTAAATTACAAAATAGTTGCGCGTTCTCTTTATATGCCACTCCAACTGATCATGCTTCTGAGTCAATCACAAACCAGAAAGTAGGGATGTTTATTAGGCTGGGCTAAATTAATTTATGATTAACGAGTAGTTCTCACACTGCCAATTGAAGTGTTAATTATTAAAAGCTTGATAAATGATAGAGCACAATGGCGTCTTGCAATCCATGTAGCCGACCCCACCTAGTGGGATAAAGGCTTGTTGTTGTTGTTGTATGTATGTATGTAATGAAATATATATAGGGACTAGAGGCACAATGAATGTGCCACGAAACTTCCTGTTAGTAACTTGAGGGAGGAGGGAAACTAACCTCTGCTAGAATAGCTGATGTCAGATTTGACCCTTGTCTTTGATAAAGTTTCACATATATAGCTATTGCCACCGACTAAAAGGAGCATATGCACCATCCGGTAGTCTATAATACCGTCATTTCTATATATTCTGAACATAAACTCTTCATTTTGGTTAACCATGCTCTCTTCTTCCCGGCCATTTATTTGAACGTTGCCAAGAAAACCAATTAATTTCACTAACTATCTGTATGCACTGTAAATTGAATGATAAGTTCACAGAAGCTTCAAAATTAAGAGGATAAGATCAAAAGGCTGAACCCCAGTTAAGGTATACAAGGTCAAGCCCAACTATTGCTTGGGAGTACAATTAACCAAACTACTCTGTTTATCTGGTATAAATGCATGTTGTTTACCAGATTTAGCCAGGCAATTTCACTATCACTGATTCTTCTTTTGCCTCTGTCATGCTTCCATGGAGTGAAAAATGAGCTATCAAAGACGAGTTCATTCTCTTTGAATAAAGTGTAGTTGCTGTTCTTCAGTTATTCATTCTATTAAATATATGATAAGAATGTGGTGGGGATATAATCTGTCAGCTTTAAACTCGTGGCTGCAGTAATTCTGCGACAGATACCAATTCTAATGTGAAATATGATATATATCAGCATGCCATCAGGGTTGGATGCAAAGGAAATAAATGATGGGTATGTAGAAAGTGTAAATGTGAGGGAGGCAGGCGCGAAGCCAAGATGATTGGAATCATTTCACTGTTTGGAGGTACTTAGTTGATGACACCATACGCAGGTCCTCTGTGCTGTATACATCATCCACTCTGCTTCCCACTCGTCCTACTTCAACCCAACAGCTCCTGTGCGTCACACGCACACTCTAGAACCACTCATGTATTTGTAAGATACTTTAATGTTGCATTTGGATGGGTGAATTTGAGTTAGGAATTTAGATTTAAAATCTCACATTTAAAATTTATAGTTTTTAAATTTTTCATTCCGATGATATAAAAATTTTTAAATTATTATATTAAAATCTTTTATTTGAATCTTAAGTAAAATTTTAAATTTTATTTTAGACTTTAAAAGCAACCCAAACAACGTCAGCAATTCGAATACCCAACTTTCACCCAGAGTGGATTGCTAGCGTTGACTAGGATCAAACAACAAACTTTCAAAAGAACAATACCGCTAGCGACGACTGAGATCAGATTGCCGGCACCATCTAGGATCAGATCGCCGGCACCGATAGGGACTAGATAGCCACTTGCGATCGAGATCTAACTGCTGGCTCCTACCATGACTAAGATTGATGACCTCTATTAAGACCAAACCTTTGACGATCAGATCTCGGTTGACGCTAGAGGTCCAATCTCGATTGAGGTCACCAGTTTGGTCTCGATCCAAGTCATCGGTCTAGGACATGATGGGATTTAGCTGTTTGATCCTAGTAGCAAGCAACTATTCAGTCCTAGTTGGCATTGGAGGTTCTATCCTGGTTGAGGCCAACAATTCAGTCTTGGTGAAAGTCGACCTTTTGATCTCAATCGTCGTCAATAGTATAATCCAAATGGAAGTTTGCCATTTGAACCTGGTCACATGTAGCAATTCAATCCTAGTTGGTGCTAGACAGGCGACGATCTGGTCTAGGTTGCTTCCTGCGCTCTGATCAAGGTTGGCCCCAATAGTCTGGTCTTGCTGAAAGTTGGCAATTCGATCCCGATTGGCACCGGTGGTTTAGTCCTAGTGGATGTCGGTTGTTTGGTCTCAATCAACTATGGTGGCCCAGTCCCTATCGGTGATGACAACTGTTTGGTCCTAGCCATTGCCAAATTACAAAAAATTAATGTAGGATTTAAAATAATAAGAGTTTAGAAAGGATTTTAAATTACAAAAAAATTGAGACAGAATTTGGATTTAGCTTCCCAAACAATGAATTTGACTCAAATCCAAATCTCTATGCATCCAAAATAGGATAAAATCATGCATATCGATATAAGTCATTAAAGACTTTTTGTAAATTAATTATCTTACTCTTACCGTTAAAAACGATCGTAGGAAGGGATACAAGCAGGATGTGTAGCCAATGGTGAGGAGGGTGCTGGTGTGAAGCATTAATTGTTGGGTTGTGTTAGGGAGGTGAGGGTGAACTGCGTCATATAATAATGGGGGCATATAGTTATATGGGTGAGTGGGGTTAAAAGCAACAGAAGACTGTTGAGGCGTCACTCCGCCGCCTCCACCACCAAGCCAAACACCATTGCCCATCACCAATCCCTTTCTCCTAATTGAAAGGAAAATGCGCTCGCAACATCATCCACCACCATATTCCCATTATTGTCTAATAATAATCATATCTACTTATAATTGTATAGTATATTTAATTTGCATATTCTCTGCCCTTCCTAATATGCCCAGTTGTCGCCAATAATTGCGTTGCCCCCATCGTCTACTTTGTTTGATTGGCCGTCTTCTCTCACTTGCATGCACTGAACCCGAACACAATGTACAGTGGCAAGCCTATCGTGTGTTCTTGCAAGACTGATAAATACAACAGATTGGGAACTATAATCGCCCAGTTATTTTTGTTCCGGACAAGAAATGGAATTAATTTACTGCTTCTAGTTAAACTTTCTTTCTACTTGTATTCGCCTCTGGCTGCGTATACCCATACCGGTTTTTTATTACATTGATCGAATAATATTCCTGATCCATCTCCCACCATATCTAAACGGCAACTTCAAACAATGCTAATTTCAACGTTGAGAGAGAGATAGAGAGAGGCATTCTGTTGGTCATCACCACTTCCCACTTCAAATGGAATCAATCCCAATCCACAAGTATTCCCAACTCTCTGGCTGATTATGTTATGCCGTATTCCCCCCCCCCCCCCCTTTTCTCTAAAACCTGTTACAGCGTACTTGATATGGGGCAATTACTCAAGGCATTGGAAAATTAGGCACTAACCTTGGCTGTTTTAATTTTTTCGGTTGAAACTATGACTCACATTTAATTTCTATAATTATAAATTATTTTTATTTATCTTGATTTAAAATCTAGGAAAATTAGCAATGAAGGACTGCAGGAGGAAATTTATATCAATTAGAAATTATTTGTTATTAAAACCTAAATGAAAAAAAGCTCGAATGAACTATTATTAATTTAGAATAAGTTATTGTTAAAATCTGAATGGATATTTGTTGATAAAAAACTAACTCAAATCAACAATTATCCATTTAAATTTTGACAATAAATAATCTTTGACTGATACAAATTTTCTCCAATGATTCTTGATTGATATTTTTCCTAAAATCTATTACATCTCTATTAATTATATTTATAATTGATATTTTATGAAATATTATTTATTAATCAAGTTAATCTTTTAAATTGTTTTATAAGCTCTCTCTCTCGTCTCCCCACCCTCTCATAACAGTGAGACGATTAGAGTGAAATAAATAATTTCTCTCTCGTCGTGAGTTTTGTCACTTACATTAGAGATTTTTTTCATATTAAAATTCTTGTATTGTCTTTACTATTTTCTCTCTCTCTTTTTTATAATAATTTTTAATTATTATTTTTAATTCGAATCATCCTTTTCACGCTTCAATTCCCAACCCCCTTTTCTCATATGATTTCACGGACCAAATGGACCTCTAGTCAGTGCCTAATTTTTTCACCCACGTCATCCAACATAATCATCAGCATAATAATACTGATAAGGGAAAAATCAATTATATATTATACGTGGCTAGCAGAAAAAGTTTGGGCATGCTGAACACGCAAGGAGAGGATGTCATCGATCAAGTTGTTGCGTCTTTGTCCAAATGCTCTCTCAGTATTGGGTTCAGCTAGGAATTATCACCCCATCGAACCCAGACAATGTAAATAAATTGTATAAAATAATCCAGAATATTCGACGCAGTCGTTAAAAAACACGAATTAGAAAATAAAGAATGAATATGTATAACTGTTATGTGTGTGTGTGTGTGTGTGTCAAGGAAACTAGTGTGCGGTTAGGTTATGAATCGGTAGATGGATATAGGAAAATGATGTAAATTTTAACTCCTGATTTTTTTGGGGCCGAGTAAGGGCATAGAACATGGCATGCATGTGTTTTAACTTCCCGAGATAGTTACACTCTCTCGCAGCATATTAGGTGTTCAGTTAATATTAAACCTTCATTGATATTTCAAGTCTAATCCAACTGCAAGCCTCAAGTTTTACTTTGGAGGGAAAAAGGCGTGTATAAAACTTGCAGTATAACTATGTTGCCCAATTAATATTACGTTGACATGTGAGTGTTGATATATATATATATATATATATATTTCGAGCAAAGTGTGTTGATATATATGTGTGTGAGTGTGTGCATTAAAATATTTGTTACTTTATTCATATCTGAAATGATTAGCCTTATGAGATATCATGTCCATGCTTCACACGCAAATACCCAATAACCTATTTATTTTGAAAATATTTGTTATACTTCCTCAAGGGGGGAAACATTTTGGATTGGAAAGAGTTTATGTGGGTAAATTTTAAAAAAATGACAAAATTTGAAATTTTTCATTTTAATTTCTTTAATTTTCTCAAAAATCCAAAAATATAATCGAAATGTTTTTAAGCCGTTACGTTCCAATCTCCAAAAAAATTGTAAGAACCCTTGATTCTGTACGCTATTCTCATTTCCAATATTTTAAAACTATAAACTTAATTCCATAACAAGTTTTGGAAGTGCAACAAGGTGCAAAACACGACATAGCCACTGAATCTCCTATTAATGGCTTCGAAATTTCTGCTGGTGCATGTATGCTGAAGCAGACAAAAGCATTAAAACCAGCGGCCATCCTTTTCAACACTTTGGCTAATGTCTAATGATGTAGAAAGCACTAGCACTTGGATATCTACTTATCAAGCGTCATCCATTAATTAATTAATTAATAATTATATAACTTGTTTTATTGTGTTCTCGGCGTATTTCCATTATTCGTGTCGCGCTGTCCCTATTCACTCTGATGACAAGGGGAATTTTCCTTGATCTATGATCGCTTTGATATTGCTTGCTGAGTGGGAAGCTACTAGCTATATCACTTATAAGAGTTAAATAAGAGGGAAATGCCATAGAATTATATTTAGATAGATCCCTCACAATGCAATAAAAGTAACGTTTGTTTAAGATTAAAAAAATTATAAATTTTAATAGTTTAAAAAATTTATAAAAAGAGATTTATTTTATAAAGATTTTATAAAAAATATTATTTTATATTTGATTACAATAATAAAAAATTAATTATTAATTAGTTATTTTTAAATTTTTTAATATCTCTCCATTGATTTATATTTTATAAAAATTACTTATTATTATATTATTTTAAAATTTCTTCTCGTATTTTGCCTATTTAAAATATTTTTTATTATATATCACATTAAAATATTTTTGGAAACTATTTAAAATAACTTCTTAAAATAATTAAAAATTTACTTGCTTAATTATTTTTAAAATTGTAAACAAATGTTATGAAAACCCACAAAATAGTTTGTTTGTTAAAAAAAAGTGATTTTTTATAAAATAAACTGAAACAAACAGCACCTAAATGCTGTAAAGTCCATTAATAATAACTAAATGTAATAAATGTCAACTAAATATAGTTGTTATTTTGTTATGCTTTACTTTTTTTTCGTAGAAATTTTTGTTGTACTTTACTGGTCATTGGACTCTGTGTATTTAATTATTTTGCGGAGGATTTGGATTTAATTCTTCGTATAATTTAATATTTAATAATATATATATATATATGACGTGTAGTTTTCTAATTAAAATTTTTGTCGAATTTCCTAAAATCTGCCAATGTTCCATGTATGTACGTATAATGATTAATTTCATTATTCGTCTCGAAATTTTATTTGTAAAAGAAATATTTACCCATTACTTAATATATTATTCATTTTTTTACAAAAATTATATTATTACTTTCATCTCAATTTATAAGATATTTTTAAATAAAATTATATGTACAAATGCACTTTACAATCTTATGAACAAAAAATATAAATTTTTAAAAATGTCTTTAATTTAATTTCATGTTACATTTGTAAAAGAATATTAAAGAGAAAAGTAATCTTAAAAAGCCTCAACAATAAAAAAATATTTTATATTTTGATATATTAAAAATATCTTAAAAATTAAAACAGAGAACGTATATTACATAATTAACGAAGGTTATTCCCCATAACACCGTGCGCTTGGGACTCCAAAGCATCCTTTTTTTTTAAAAGTATATTACAGAATTTTAAGAATAATTGATATCTTTTTATCAAATTCCTTCAGCTGATTTATAAGAAAAAATAAAAACCTTACGATTATCAAGAAATTTGTTAAAAACTTCTTAATTATATATGTTTCAATTTGATTTTTTGCTGAAATATCTTTTTTATATATTGTTATTTAACTAAATCAAACTCGAGTATTCTTGGGTCTAATTGGAGATAATTCTTCCAAGAGCATTTTTAACATTTGGGCAAACCCAGATATAAGGCCTTGTGCTTAAGCAATCATTTTTTTTTTTTTACTCACGCCTTTTCTTTTTTCTTTTTTTTGAAATATTATTAGCATGATGTTTAATTTTTTTCCCCTCACTTTAATGATAGTCATTCACTACAAACAATTGTAACAAGGAGAAATTCTTGCATTGACCTAGTGCCTTGTATTATTTATAACCTGTTCAATAAAAATATATCATCTAGTTGTAAATATAAATTTACTACAACATTAATGACATTGAAGAAAGAAAAGACAAGAAAAGAAACTTTAAAAATACTAACACATAAGATTTTATTTAATTTAATTGATACTAATATGGCATGTTTTCATTTGACAAATCATAGATGATGTGATGCATTGATCCGTGTACAAATTTCTTTCACAACAAGTTCCATGTTTATTACACAATTTCATTTGTTTCTAGTTTCTACTTTGGTCTTTATTTCTTAATTACAAATTAATTGAAGGGTAGGCTTATTTTTGTTAAAATTTGTACACATTTTTATAACATATTATTTATTGAGATTTATTCTTTTAAATTTTGAAAAAAATTGTATTCATTAGTCTATTTATACATACTGTAATCTTTCAACACTTTTTTCAAATTTCCTTTATTTCTGTCATGGTTTTTTATCCGTTATAATTAAAACGAATAAGAAGACCCCTTTAAAAAAAAGTGATCAAAAGAAACAGATAATTAACTAACTATATATTTCTTAATGAATGTGCATTAAGTAAAAAAAAAAAGTATATAAATACAAAACGGAGCGTGTTACTGTATATGAAAACAACGGACATGAATAGCTAGTGTTTTCCACGTTATACGTCATATCGCAATTTTTATGCGTGATCCCACCCCCCGCCCCGGGGGTTGGGGGACTGTTATATAGAAATAATATCGTGTTTGTTTTGTTCATCAAATCAAATAATCCAATAAATTACGCGTCCGTTCTCCTTAGGATTGTTAGGCAACTATAGGAGAACGTCACTAAATATTTTGACAGATGACTTAGGTGATTAAATTTGTCTTATTAAAAGCGGATGTAAATCCTCTAAAATTGGGATTGATGAACTTATGCAACGATTTTTTTAAAAAAAGAGAGAGAAAAGATTTTATATTTTATAAAAAATAATAAAACCAGTGAAAATACTAAAAAAAATTCACCTAAATTCACCCATCCCAACTTCAAATGATATCGATTTGGTGAGGCGGTTGTGAAGACTGAAGAGAATGCTAACAAAATTGAAAATGAAAGCTCATGATCCTGTATGCGTGCGTGTACCTCAAAGGATGACATCCACGAATCAGGCTCCCGAGCGCATATATACCATCAATTAAATAAGTAATGCAAAGATGACCCCTCCATATCTCTAGAGCCTACATTCAGCTGGCACTGTTATTATCAATTAATTTATCAAATATAATATATAAGATTGGATTATACATGAGCTCTCCGTGTCTCTGTAGCGTAGTGGAATAATTCTCTTGAACTACTAATAATATAATACTAATTATTTATTTTTATTTTTTGAATTTCGGATGCCCTCCCACACTTGATCATTTGTCAATTCATCTGGAATATCATGTGCCACGACACTAGTCTTCTCGGATCAGTTCTCCTTTTATTATCATTTAAAGAAATAATGGTGGGAACATGACACAACCTGTTTGTGTACCACATTAGGTCTAAGGTTGACCCGTGGAGTCCACGTCATATTATTTGGCGATACATTGACTAGGAACATGACGCGAGTGGTCTGTGGGTACCGTACTTATTAATCTCCGCACTAAGATCCTGGTTATTAATCAGTTAACTTAATTATAGTTTGCCTTTTTTTTTTCCTTTTCGGTTTGCATTTTCTAAAGCACTCATCATCAAAATGCAGCATTTATTAAAGCAAGATATAAAGAAAAATATAACGATGTGTTTTACCTTTGTGCATACGAATCGTATAAAAATGGGATCTATTATCTTCTTTCTTCCCATCAAATTTCTTTCTACTCCACCCTCAAAAGCATTTTAGAAGATCCAAATTTCATTATCATCGGGTAACGTTAGTATAATTAGCTGGCCAGGTGCTTTGTCTTTTAAGTTTTTGGATAAAAATAATCAACTAATCAATAGTGATTTAGTAATAAATTGAAAGAGGTCGTAACAATCAAGTACAGAACCACAAGAACTAGAATTGGTTCGCATGGTTGCACAGGCACTGTGTGCAATAATTTTGGCATCCACGGAGCGAATCTGATGAATAAAATAATGAAGAGGAAAAAGGGTTAGGCAGGGAGTACGGTGCGTACATTTATGCAACTTTTGGTACTGACATATACAGTAGGGTTTCCACAATATTAATTTGAAAATAAAATTAAAAAAAATAGAGCGAAGAGACGGATGATTAAGGTCGTCATGTATAAATAAGAAGGGTAGGTTATGCATGGAACGGCATAGAAGCATCAACAAGCTGTGAAATTCAGAATCTCTTAGCAGAGAAGTGAAAATGAAATACTGTGAGAAAGCGGGGGCGTGGTTGAGAGGGGCGAAGCCATACCTGCTGATGGTAGGGCTGCAATTCGGGTCGGCGGGCATGTACATTATGGCCAAGGACGCTCTCAATAAGGGCATGAGCCATTACGTCTTCATCGTCTATCGTAACGCCATTGCTGCCTTGTCTCTTGGCCCCTTTGCTCTCGTTCTTGAGAGGTCCTCTTCGTTCTCATCCTTCTTCCCTGGCTTTATTAATTAACCATGCCATGCAAATAACCCTTTCTGCTCTCCATCATCTCTTTTGTATCCTTCTGCAGGAAAGTGAGGCCCAAAATGACGTTTCGGATTTTTTCAGAGATTATGGCGCTGGCTTTTGTCGAGTAATCATCGTCTTCCTCTTCGTTTTCTTTTCGAGCCTCAGCTTGCAAATTAAATTACGTGTTTGTATAAATATATCTCTAAATGAAAGTTCGTTAGATACAGAGTTTGAATATTAGTAATTATAATAATAATAACATATTTACGTGATGTTTCTGGTGGACAGAGTAATACTGGATCAGTGCTTCACCCTCTTGGGTATGAAATTAACTTCGGCCTCCTTTGTAGTTGCCGTGATGAACACTGTGCCCGCCATTACCTTTGTGCTGGCAGTCCTTCTTGGGTAAGTGTTTGCGTTACGAACTACGTGTATTGGTGATGATGTAGAGAGCTATATACGCATCTTATACTTTGATATCCATTATCTCCTCATCCTATCACAGGCGTTGGAAATGAAAAACCAATATCTCTAAGACTGGTGGCTAGGATAATAAGTAGCAGTTTAGTTCTGTCTGAGTGCCTTGCGAACATTTGTTAGCTCTTATTCACTAAACAGTAAATATTTGATCTTCGTCACCACCTCACATTTCACGTCCACACCCAATAGTACAGGAGGTCATGTTTCTGCTTTTCTTTTCTTTTCTTTCTTTTTTTAATCCTTACTATCGTTCTTCTCTAAATACAAGGAATGGCCAGAATTCAGCCTCCAATTAATTAACATTGAATCAACTTCCATCCACACACACACACACACGCACACGTTATTAATTCATGTTTGCAATTCCGATACCATTTCTGTTAAATTCGTAGAATTTATATTATAGATTATTATTTAATAATATCAATTTAATTACAATCAGAACTTCGAAAAAATCATGTAATATAAGTTGAAATTATAAATTCAAATTATTAGAAATTCATGAGTCTGAACTACAAATCAAACATTTATGTTTTAAATATAGATCTTAGTAATGTGATTCTCACTTGCAACTATTTGATTGATATTTTTACAGATATTTACAGATATTTTTTAAAAAAATTTATCGGATAATTAATTATATATCGCCAATTAAATTGATATTTGAGGAGGCATCTGTCATTCTTCTTTTTAATTTTGAGTTATCCACATACACATGCACGCGTACGACCTAATTTAATGTTTAACTCGTCTTTGTTTATGTGTGTACGTGCGTAAAATAACGTTTGAATGCACACACACGCACATATATAAAAAAAAAACGAATAAACCATAATAATAATAACAATGAAAGGAAAATTAGGACGGGGTGTTTTTGTGTCGGAGTTTAGAGTAAGGAATGAAAATGGTGGGTTGAGACTTGAGATGGGTGCAGAATGGAGAGGATGAAGATGAAGGAGATTCGATGCCAAGCAAAGGTGATGGGGACGGTGATAACAGTGGGAGGAGCCTTATTGATGGCACTGTACAAAGGACCCATCGTGGACGTCGCAAGCGGATCGTCAGGCCACCCCGAGAACGTCAGCGACCCCGCCGGCTCTCAATGGCTGCTGGGTTCTTTCGTGGTCCTCGTCGCCTGCATCGCCTTCTCCGGTTTCTACATTTTGCAAGTAACTCCTCAGCTTCGCCCCGCGAGGTCCCATGCAAAATTAGAAGGGTCTTTTGTTTTTAATTAATTAATATCAATTTTCAGGCGGTGACACTGAGGAAGTACCCGGCGGAGATGTCGCTGGCCACGTGGATATGCCTGGTGGGGTCATTCCAGAGCGCGGGAGTGGCGGCTTACATGGAACGACACCGTCCTCAGGCGTGGTCCGTGGCCTGGGATTCCACGTTCTTCGCCCCCGCCTACTCGGTGAGTAAATATATATAGGAACCTTGATTTGATTTGATTTGATGTGGAAGTGTAGATTGGGGAGTTAGATCTGATTGGCTTAAATGAGAAACGGAATGTGTGTGAAGGGGATAGTGACGTCGGGGATCCAATATTACGTGCAAGGGGTGGTGATGAGGAGGATGGGCCCAGTGTTCGTGACGGCTTTTAATCCGCTGAGAATGATCATCGTGACCAGCCTCGCGTGCTTGTTGCTGTCGGAGCAGCTCCACCTGGGCAGCATAATTGGGGGAGTAGTGGTGTCCGTGGGGCTCTATCTGGTAGCGTGGGGCAAATACAGAGAATTCAAGGATGTCATGCCACCCTCCCCTGCCAAGGACAGTACTCCCCATTGGCCTGAGCAGCAGCTACCCGTAACCATGACCCCCACAGCTGTGGATCATCCCAATCCTCATGAATCCATCGTCATCTGTGACCAAAACACCTGCCCGGACTCCACAATTTCCAACAATACCCAACAACCACAGTCTTCGTGACGCCCGGCCGCGTCCGAAATAATAACGGACTTCATTTTTGTCCCCTTTTCATTTTTAAAATTTTAAATTACCTCAGCTCATGGATTTACAGATCCCCCTTCTCACCCTAAACCTGTTTTTGTTTCAGTGAGTGGCTTAAGCACTGCGTTTCACTTAATGAATGTCTCAATTACGGCCGTTGAATTTCCTCAATATATATTTGCAAATTATTAAAGCATATTTCCCTCTAAAATTCAAAGCAAGCATAAATGTCCCTTCCAAAAGTTTGAGATTTGATATTTTCTGAATATTATATGAAAAAGTCTTTGATAGCTGTTCGATTAAATTAAACCATTGTTTTTGTGTCACATGAGACGTTCATTAAATAAGCGTACTAATTAAGTCACTCACTAGATTTAAATCCATTCGTATGATCCTTTTCTTTAAGAAACAATAAAAATATATAAGAGGTCCGAACAGCAACGAGGCCGCTGGTGCTAAAGAATAACAGAAAAAGGAAAATAACGACTGAGCCTGCAAGAATAGCAAAGCCAATAAACAACCAAACGAGGAGGACGGTGCGGTGGGGACGATAGATGGAAAAGGCGAGCCCTATGTGAACCGTGAAGTGGCTATATCCAATATAATATATACATGGACATCGTAATCCCATTATTATAAAAGATAAATTCAATTAATCCTGTATTTGCATGCTTATAGTGACACAGTACGTATCTCCTATCCCAAAATATTTATTTGAGAAATTGTGAAGCCAAATTCGAATAGTTCATTGCTGTGTGTATGTGTATATACAATCAGATTCATGCATGATTCCTATACCATCACGTGGACCTAATAGATACAATTGAATATATGGCTGTATTTTGTCCACTCTGACTAACGGCTCTCCTACAATCATGCTTATAAAATATTTACAATTACTGCACAGTCATAATTGAATCCTGAATATCTCTAACACTTCCCTTCAAGTTGGTGCAATGCATAATGCCCAACTTGCTTACTAGGAATGTCAATCTATCTCTCCCAAATGCCTTCGTAATTATGTTTGCCAACTTGTTCTTTGTTCACACTTTTCGTGGTTCCACTTCTCCTAATCGAACTCCCTCTCTTGCAAATTTGCAAATTAACAGTTCATTTCAACATGTTTGGTTCGCTAGTAAAAAACAGGATTTATTGCTATTTGCAATGCTACTTGATTGTTACAGTATAGCTGTAACACCTTAATTTTAACATTAAAATTTAAGTGATAATAGAAATCAATTTATTGAGTGAAATTTAAAGTAGTAAATATTTATTAATATTGATTTGAAGTTGATGAGAATTATAGTAATTAAAATTTACCAAATAAATTATTTGAGGAAAAATTTATCTAAGAAGAGTTAAATTTTAAAGATAAAGAAACTACGTCATGAATTTTAAAAATAGGAAAAAGATTAATGACGGTGAGTGAAATTAATAAATTCTGTAAATTATTTTATTATAATTATTTAAACAACATGAGAATTTATATTTGAAAAAATATGGAAATTAAGTCTACTCATTTAAATTATAATAGAAGATGATACCAGAATTTATTAGGTCATAATATAATATTTTTGAAATAAAACGAGTATATAGCATAAATTAAAGGGGAAAAAAAGGAAGAAAGGAGGAGAAAGGATTAAAAAGAAAAGAAAAGGGAGAAGGGGGTCCCACAATTTAACGCACGCACGCACCTAGCTAAATATGCATTCTGCAACACGCACATTCTTTTTGTTCTTTCTTCGAGCGGCGCGCACGGAAACTCCATCAATGGGGTTTGAGAAACTTCTGAGCTCGATTAGTTTTCTTAATCACTCTAAATGAGAAATCTCCCTTAACAAAAGTTATCATACCTGATGAGAGTTTTCTAACGCTATAAATATTGAAGGCAGTAGAGCAAGTTTAATGATTAAGGTTCGGACTACGGGTATGAAGTTTCAATCACAAGATTATTAAAGTAAGTGAATACTTAAATTTAATTAGTTTATTTTGTTAAATAAATTTGCATTTTTATATATAGGTATGTTAAGATTGCTCTTTGGTCTAAAATGAGGATTTCAATTTTTAGAGATAATTATTACTTGAAACGTTTATAATTGATTATGGATAATTTAGAAATACTTGTTGAAAAATTAGTCTAGGGTTGAATCAGTGGTTTGTGTGAATTTTTTAATTATGAATGAATTAATGCAAATTTTTGAAGTATTTTTAGTATGATCAATATACATAATGTTTGGCGAATAAATTATTTTGATAAAAAACTTTAACTAATAAAGATGTTATGTTTAAATTCTTATGGTAATTGAATTTGATTTGAGCTCCTTTTAAGTACTCAAGATTCTTACTTTGAAAAAGGATTTGGCATAACTATGAAAATGGCAAATCTTAGGCTTGCTTGTAGTTTTTGAAAGCTATTTGAGAATAAATAAAAGGTTTCAAGATAAATGGAATTGTGGGATTCGGTTGTTGTACTTTGATACATGTGTGTGCGCGCGTGCGCATAATTGGACGTATAATAATGAAATTCAAAGTTTAGCATTTTGGATGTTAACCATAAGATTAAGGAATATTTGGTATTTTGTATATTTGGAGGATTTAATGATAAATTAAAATTTCTAATAAGTGATGAAGCTAAGAAAATATTTGATTTAGAACTAAAATGAAGAATTTAAAAATTGGAGGTGAGAATTGAGAATTTTAGTATATGTAACTAAATTAAAAATTAACCCTTTATCATCAACTATGTTGACCACTACACTAATAAAAACCCCAGCCCGAACATCGAATTATAAAGAACAATGGGTCATAATTTTGATGGTTCAACCGGTTAGACTAACATCGAACCGACATAAAAATTAAATAAAAATAATATTTACATATACAAATATATAAAATAAAATATTAATTTGTCAATGGTGCTTGGGATCTCGATATCAAAAACTAGATGCTCGGACCGCTAAAGCTAAAGGCAGAGGCAAGTTGGCATAAGCTCACAATCTCAAAGAAAAATGTTGGAGTTAGAGGCATGCCGTCATATCATAATTCATGAGTTTATGATCTCAAAGTCAAATGCTAAATTGCTAGAGCTACAGGAGAGGTGAAAGAGTGAGTCTAGGCGATGGAAGAGATTCATGACTTATCCTAAATTTCTTTCTTTTTTTATTTTTTTGCTTTTGAATTGGGTTGACTAACTTTGATTTTTTGGTTAAATCTAGTTCTCTTAAAATAAACCGAGTCAACCATGATCCAGATACAAAAGTGATCCAAATGGTTTAACCAAACTATTCTGTTGAGCTACCAGATTGTTTGGTCCTATTTGAGTTTCAAAACATTGGCTAGGCCAAACTTGGAGTAATGAAAATTTAAAGTTATGATCAATTAAAAATTAAAAATTGATAATTGAAAGTTCAATTGGATTGACAAGACTTAATGCTAATTGGGAATTAGATCTATGATTATATGTGAACCCAAATGATAATAATTGAGATTTTAAGTTTATGTAATAGCTTAACTCTCTCTCACAAAATTGTACACTACTGATTATCTATATAATTCATGTAGATTTAATTTATTTTGATTATTGTGTCTTAAACACGGGGCTTCTAAAAAATTGTGGTTACTTTTATGAGCTATGGCAAGATGTAATCACTTTCCTACTTATTGTGCATGCTAGTGCTTATTTGTGAGTTATTTTTTAAATGTATGATTTGATAAATGTTATTGAAAAATTTATGATACATTTAATGAAACTAAAATATGAAATATATTATGAAAAATTCTACTTTGATATATGAAATTGCATGTGGAACTCATGTTTATATGTGGGGAAGTTGTTATGGCATACTAAATATATCATGTACTCATTTTTCTAATATAGCCCTAATCATATCATGAATAACAAGTAAGATCGTGATTTTTTATATTAAAATTATTTTATTTTATTACATCAATGAACTTTTATTTAATTTATAGTATCTTGATTTCTAATTTGTCAATTATAAGATTCAATGTATCCCGTGACTAGTTAACAATAATGGGGCATTGATTGTTGCTCAAGCCCTGTTTCGTCCTTTTGGATGATGTAACCGTATACCGTCGCCTTCCTCGCTTTTTATTATGCATTGCCAGCAATCGAACATAGTGAGCTAGGCCAAGCCTGGTCCATGCACCCGTGGTTTGGGCTTCTATCTATCAGGCCTCGTCACCCACACCCGACACCACCGAAAGCCACAACCCACATGCCAACAGCTATGTGCGCGTAAGTACTTGATATCTGAAAAAATCAAGAGAAGAAGACGACTGTAGGAATTTGGGGTGGGGAACTTCCAAATAATTGATATGAGTTTGGATAAGGAAGGCAGAACTTCAATTGAAAAGAAACTTTTATTGTAAAGTGATTAGAGAATAGACACTTTTCTCTTATCACTCTTCTTCTTCACGTGACTCTTCAGACTCTCTCTCTCTCTCTCTCACACACACACACACACACACTTTTATTTTATTCTTTCTCACTCAATTTGTGTTAAACTCCAATCCTCACGGAATCAGTTTCGGTGCACCATGGTGCTCAGTGTTTTTTTTTTTTCTTGCTTTTTTAATCACAAATTTATTATAATAATAATAAATAAATATTATAAAATTATTATTTTAATATTTAATAAAAAATAAATATTAAGATGTTAAAATTAAATCTGAACAGATTAATTCATTAAAATTTGACTTGAACATTTCACATATAAGTTTTGGTTTGAACAGTTTAGAACTGTATTAAAAAAATTAAAATTGTAACTAAATATTTTTTTTGATTTTATTGATTTTGCACGGTTATTTACCTATGAGAGATAATATCATTTAAGGCATAATTAGGTATTAAATATATAGGTACTTCTCTTAATAGAAATTCAAACATTGATTTATTACAGTGCAAGAAACTAGCTCATTTTATTAGACTCAACTTTTATTTTAAATTATTCAAAGCATTTTTTATTTTTTTCAGTACAATTCTCAATGTTCAAACCAAAATTTTTATTTAAACTATTCAAGTTTAATTTTAACATCTTAGTATTTATTAATTTATTAAATATTAAAATAATAATTATTTATTATTATAATAAATTAATAATAAATTTGTGATTTAAAAAAACGAAAAAAAAAATTATCAAATGACAGTGTTTTGGTACTGAGCACGACGGTGCTCATTCGAAACCGAATCCCAATCCTCACACACTTTCCTCAAGTCACCTCTCTCTTTACTCCTCCACTCGCTGCACAGCACACACTTCACAGTTCACAGTACACTTATTTTGGTTTCTTTCTCCCTCTCACACACAACTCTATAGTTCACCCTCTGATGTCGGTTTACAGTGTTCTTCAACAATCTAGATTTTTCTTCACCGCCTTTAATACTCTTGGAGAGGAAGAAATGTTTGACAATGTCTAGAAAAATCTGCACATTTCAAAATTTGAATATTGTTTGTGAGAGGGAGAGAAGCATCTGGACCTTTTTTTTGTTTTTTGGATGAGAGAGAAATTAAGTTCCGGAAAGAGAAAAATTTGAAGGAGGGTGAAATAGAGTCGATGATATATTTTAACAATAACAGGAAAGGAAATTTGGGTAACAGATCGAGTATGATGCAAGATCGAATGCATTACGAGTTAAAGCAAGCAAAATCGGAATATTTCATTTAAAGTAATAGCCACCAACATGGGTGTGTTTATATTCTCTTCGATCGATTACCCTCACCCACC